AGGGGTGGAGCAGGATCTGCTCCAGGGTTGGCCGTTTCTCAGGTTTCACACTCAGGCACCAGCGAATCAGGTTGCGGCAGCCTGCCCAGAAGAAGAGACAGAGCGACCTGATTGGTCAGGAGGTAGTGCAGGAGGACACCTATTTTGACTAAGGGGGGATGGGCAGACTGAGAGGATGAAAGGAGGAATCCTATCACACACCGTCTCAGTCCAATGTCTCTCTCTGTGCAGTATTAATGTACTGGAGTGTCCAGTCAGTGTGTCTGTATTAACCTCTCTCTCTTTTTTTTGCTTCTCTCACCTACAGAAATGCCTCTTCTAAAGCGCAGACGCCCCTCCAAGATTTTTAATTCGTTTTTGAAGGGGTCGTGCCCACAGACCATGTTGAATAGCAGCACCCCCAGAGACCAGACTGTCAGGGGCGCTGCCTGGTACTGCCCCTCCAGCACCCACTCTGGGGGGGCATATTCCTCTGTCCCTGCAGAGAGAGGGGGTCACAGCCTCAGACACATAAAGCATTCGTCGAGCTCAGTGTAGCTGATCATGAACACGTGGGGATGATTTCATACTGTACGAAGAATTAACAGGAAAAACCCTCCAGTTCGTCTTTAGAACGACGGGGAGAGGAGGAATACAAGAGACAGTGGCAGTGGGAGGAAGATGATGAGAATGGGGCTGAACAGATTGAGCCCTGGGGGCCACAGTTCACAGGGAGAGGGTGAAGGGCAGAGATTTGTAGGTGAGTGGATTGAGAAAGAAATCCGTCACTAAGTGCTGTGGTTCTGTAGTGCCATGCACTGAGGACTTTCAGAAGGAAACAAAAACAGCAAATTTATCTACAAACTCTTTGTAGCCTAACTGTTCAGAGACAAAGTGAGCTGAGAGTGATTCCTGACTGATCAGCAGGAGAGTGAGCCAGTGAGCTGGGAGTGATTCCTGAATGACCAGCAGGAGAGTGAGAGAGTGAGCTGGGAGTGATTCCTGACTGATCAGCAGGAGAGTGAGAAGATTAGCTCAGCAGAAATCCCACCGCTGTCGAGACATGTGGCCGCTGACAGCCCGGCCAATCGAATCAGGTTTGATTCTGCAAAACGTGCTGGAGCAGCAGCCTGTCAGTGCAGATAGGAAGAGTCACGTTCCAGGAAACAGATGACACAAACTTCAGTGCATTTCGGGGAGCTACCACAGGGGAGCCCCTGAGCCCCAGGCTGACCTGCGAACTCCTTGTAGCTACAGTCCTGCAGCAGGTCGCCGCAGCCGAAGTCGATGAGCTTGACCTGCTGGCTGTCCGTCTGCACCAGGATGTTCTCGGGCTTGATGTCGCGGTGCAGCACGCCGCGGGCCTGGCAGTGCCGCAGGGCCTGCAGCAGCTGGCGCAGGACACCGCGCGCCAGCGGCTCGTCCAGCTGGCCGCCCTGCTCCAGGCTGAACTCGTACAGGTCCAGGCAGGGCTGGGGCCGCTCCAGGACCAGGACGTAGTGGTGGCGCAGATCGAACCAGGCCAGCAGCTGCAGGATGTGGGGGCAGCGGGGCGCCACGCCCACCAGCTTCATCAGTGCCACTTCCAGGGGCAGCGGCTGGGGCTCCCCGGGCTGAGAGAGGGGGAGACAGGCTGTGTGTCTGCTGGGCAGTGCTGGTGCACACTGCTCCTGTACACACACACTGCTCGCTACACACAAACTGCCCTGTACACACAACACACTACTCCTGTACACATACTGCTGTCTACACACAGCTCTCTGTACACACACACACTGAACCTGTACACACACTGCCCTGTACACACACTGTTCTCTACACACACACTGCTGCCTCACAACAAGAGGTCACTCACAATTTCCAGATGTTCTTCAACCTTTGATTTCAGGACGTACTTCATGGCCACCTGGATGAGAGAGAGGAGAGTAGGGGTGTCAGTCCCCAGGCTGGGGGCTCAGTGCGGTGAGGCGGGTTCACAGTGTTTCTGGCACTAGAAGGCGGGAGGGAGGGCAGGAGAGGGAAACCGCAGAGAGGAGAGGAGGGAACAGCTGCTTACCGGCAACCCGTCTGCCTTCCGGACTCCGGCGTAGACCGAGCCGAACCCGCCCTGGCCCAGCAAGGCTCCCTTCTTGTACTGCTTCTCGAGGCAGGCTGCCAACAGAGGGCAGGAGAGACCAGGATGTTAAAACTGCCCTTAAACTGGAAGGCGTTAACTAGCAAGTTGAGCTCCACACCTTTACTGGAATGGAAACTGGTGCTCAACACCCCCGCGCAGTAAACCTGCAATTCCCATCAGCTGTGCGCTATAAAATAGGTTTTAATTATTTAATTATTAATTAATTAGATTAATTATTTAGGACACATGCAGCCCCACAGGGCTGTCCCGTTTCAGTGTGTCCCAGGGTGGGATTCCTCAGCCTGTTGGCTGCCCAGCATGTCCAGACCAGATGGACACTGACCCCTGAGCTCAATATCAGCCCAGCTTCATTGACAGGCTGGGTCAGGAGCTCTGAGAGAGGACACAATGTCCTCCAGCCCTCTTCTGTCCAGTTAAGATGTTTGATTAATTAATCATTTCATTGGTTAAGTCATTATTTTAGCTGCGGTTTGCTGGAATAAAGACTTGCAGGACTCGAAGAGCCCAGGAGACCCCTCCTGCTCTAATGGGGCCTCAGCAGTGACCTAGTGCTACGGGCCTGGCTGACCACTAGGGGGCACAGTGGAGGCAGTAACCAGGCACCTGCCCCCTGTGGCAGCTCGGGCCTGACCTCTGACCTTTGCCACATGGGCGTTTGGCATGGGGGGCTGTGGAAGTAGAGGGGCCAGAACTGGGCTCCCCCTGTTCCTGTGGGAGGCTCCTCGGGAAGAGCGCTCTTCCGGCCTGCGTGACCTCTGCCGGCCCCTCCTCCCTCCTCCTCTTCCTCAGGGGCTGCTCTTCCTCCACAGCCGCCCTCTTCCGCCCCCTCCTGGAGGGGGGCTCCCTCTCTCTCTCCTCAGGGGATCCTTCTCTCCTCCTCCTCCTCTCCCTCTGCGGTCCAGGCTGGACACGGGCTCGCTTCCTGGGTCTCTCCCTGGAGTCCGAGACTGCCCTCCTCTTCCTCCTGCCTCCTCTCCGGGGCCCTGACACCAGACACACACACATGGGACACAGGAAGGTAAATTATGATCTATAATTATTAGGAACCCGCCTTTTGAGTATTGGGATGCACTGTACTGGGGATGCTGAATGCCCCTGTCCCCTCGGATATAACACTGAAGCTCGATACCGGCAGCCTGTCACACGCGTCTCCAGCTGTGGACACGTCATTCTCAGTTGTCTTGCCGGATCACGACCCAAATACGGAAGCACCAGGTTAGCCCCGCCCACCCACGCCCTGACCCAATGCTAGCGCAGCATCTGCGTTGTCATGGTAACCAGCGAGTGCGCCCCCCCTCCCCTTTTCTTCAGGTGAGGGTGCTGGCACGTGGCCTGTTTAGTCAACAGTGAGGAATTACAATTGTAGGTTCACTGTATTTCAGTCTGGTCATTTTTAGGTGATATTCGCGAGTTTTTAAACTACGCATTGAGTTACAGGATTTAAATTTTCCAATCTGGGTTTGGAATGACGCTTTATAAATAAAAACTAGTTATATGTTTATAAGAATTTATATTGCGTTTCACAAGCAATAACGATCTTAAAGAACATGAAGTTTTATGATCGATAGTATATGTAGCAGAGAATATTACAAATAAATTATTTACGACCCATTAAGTTTGGCGTCTTAGGTACAGAGACGCGCTACCCAACGCTCCTGGGTTCACAGGAACTTTCTGTGTGCAGTCTGGATGTTTTTTTCCTCTGTTTCGTGGGTTTTTCAGTGCCGGGGAGTCTAGGTAGTTCTCCTGTGCTTGCCTGCGTTGGACTGGCGTGCCGTACAGTGCAGGCGCGTTAGCGATAATTACAGCAGATACACTTGAGAAAGAGGTACCTGCCATGTCTATTCTAATTCCCTACTGAAGTGAGAGGAGGTTTTATCAACTGGCACAAATATATCTGCGGACATATTTATCCAATGTGTTTAACGAATACGGTTATTAACCGTAGTGTATTTATACAGTGTTCAATATCGATGTTCAATGATGTTATTCCTGCGAATGAGCTTAATTAGACGAGTAAGTGGGCGTGGCCCTCTCAGACGATAGGCCGATGTCGAACCAACGTCACAGGAGGAGGCGGTTCTAACCTGGAGACGAAGAGGAGGGGCTTGTCTTCTCGCGCTCGTTCATGAGTCCTGCGATCGCCCGCCGCCGCGCAGTCGCCCAGGAACAATGTGTCGTTTCTGCTGGCGGCCGCAGGCTCACGCCGCTGCCGCCGGACACGTCACAATCGCTGGCCAGGTTGCCACGGTCCCAGGAAACGCTGGCAGGTGATGTCCATTTTGCAAGAGTGCTTTGAAGTTGGATCGTTATGAATATGCAGGTACCCACCTGAACGTGTTATGAATATGAACAGGATTCAATCAATCCCTTTGCCCGTTTCTCACCGCTAGCTGGCGGAGCCCCTTGCAAAGTCGCTCGTACCCCGACGCTTGAGGAATACGCAGCTCTGAAAAGGCGATGATGCGTTTAAACCTGCTTTCTCATCGACTTGGATTTGTCCGATGAGGCTAAATTAATTTTAATTGCATTCATATAGCTCCTTTCAGCCCAAAGGCTCCTTACTTTATATGACGAATGTATCATTTTAAAGACTACGTTAGTGACCAAGTGCTACAGGACACGTTTACTTGCTGTAGAGCTACTTAATATTAGTCAACGAAACGGTTGCTCACGTCCCTTATACGCAAAAAGTCATTTGCTTAATATATTGTTTAAAACTGTACTTATGCTGCTGGATGAAGTTAAACAGTAAATTAATCAATTCTTGGAGTGTAGTTTGTGATTTTTGTGCTCTACTGTATATAATGCAGAAAGCCCTTTTAAAAGATAAAAGATTTGAGTCCAGAAGACAGCAGATATTTCTTCACTAAGAATTAACAGGCCCCAGTTCCTGCACTCCTGAGGCAGGTGTACGTCAGATCATGGCAAAATTAAAAAAGTTAGTATGGATGAAAATCAATTGGTGCCTTGTCAGCTTTTAGACTGCTCCAAACATCCGAGGAAACGAGTCCCAGTCCTCTGGGATTATAGCACCAACCCTCTCGGCTCTCAGCTGAGCAACACAGGGGTGCAGCCCTTGAAATGAAACCAAACTCTTCAGGTACACACGACAGGAGACAGGACAGATTCCATGAACACTCATGATTTATTCCTCGACAATCACACAGGACATGCAGTTTCAGTGGAACATGCAGGTTTCTACAATTGCATCTCCCCGTTCCGCTGTGACTGCTAATCCCAAGCATTATCCTTGGACATCCTTCCGAGACGCCTGCTGTTCTTCATTCAGTCATCTCGTCCTCTAATCACTGCAAGGAGAGGAACAAAATCTGGAGTTAACACCTTCGATTACACATTTTAGTTTTTTGGGTCATTTTGATTTATTAGTTTTCTTTGTTCTTTCCTATTCAGATACCCAGGATGTATGTGAAGTGTTTCTCCCCCATCCACCTAGGCAAGGTAATAAAGACCCATGAAGCTTATCGAGCTCTACAGGGTTAGTGAGTGGGATGTGGTGCCAGTGTAGCAGTGCAGCTGGATCTGGAGCGGCCTGTGGTTTAAACCACTAGGAGGCGCTCTGGAGAGTGAAGTTTTTTCAATGGCAGGATGTTTGAACAGAGGAAACCAACAGTTTGTAGAGGAGCAGGGGAGAAGGTGTTAACATCAGGCCGGTATAGTGAGTTGAGCTCAGATAAGTTTGGGGTGCCTTGCCTTGAACTGAGGCCTCGATCAGTTAAATTGTGATGGCGATGGT